GCCGTGCTATTGAGAAACAAGCCTTGTCTTAAGGACCCAACAAAGAAGCCTGTTTTGGAGGAGAACAAGGGAGACGTGTTCTCAGTTGCCACCAGAAGCATAATGAATCACAGCAGGCAGCGTCCTGCTGTTCTCTGCGCGTACCCAGGCCTCCACCCAGCTCTTTCCCTGGCATCAAGAATAGCTGTGGCTGCCCCCTCTGTAGAGACTTAAACCCAATTCATAATTTCCTTTCCTAATTAGACATGGGAATGATGGAGACAGTTATTAATAATATATTGAGTCTTTTTTTAAAATGCCCCCTCAGGAGCTGAGCCTGAGAACAGTGTTGTTGATGGTAGCCAGCCACACTGCCACCACGCTGGCTCCGGGCCCAGGACACCAGCAGACATGAATAAGTCAGAGGAGCGAGTGTCTGTGGAGCGTGGGCCACAGACTAGGGGTCACAGATGGAGAGACCTGGAACCCCTCTCCAGGACTTCAGACCCCAGCAGGGGGAGCCTCAGGAGCAAGGGCCCAAGCCCCCAGTTCTTTTCCTTGCCAGCGTGGACAGGACCTTCCCCTGTGGCTGCTTTCTCTCCCGTACCCTGCGGGTCACAGCTTAAATGTCACCTCCTCAGAGGCTTTCCTGACGCTCGGGGTGATGCTGGCTCCCCTTCCACAGCCTCCTCTCTCATGTCATCCTGTCTTGGTCTCTCCAAAGCATTTCTTCAGCGACCTGTAGTTACGCCTGGATTCCTGCTTGCTTGTTTTTTCTGTGTGTAGCAGGTACAGTGGCCAAGCAGAAGTCTGTTGCCCGGTGTGTGTAGAAGTCCACACGATTGCACGCCAGGTTTTGAGAGTACGGCCTCTCCCTGGCCGGGGACTGAACCTGTGCCGCAGTGGCTGTGGACAGCTTCACAGTGCTGTGCTTCAACCCGCTGCACCACCAGGGAGGGCCCAGCTGCTCCCACCATAAAGGCCTAAGTCCTTCCCCTGGCCTCCAGACCCTGAGGCGTCTCGTCACCGCCGTCTTCCCTGTTCCCTTTCTACTGGCCTCAGCAGCCTCTTTGCTGCGCCTCGGACATGCCAGGCCCCACATGCCAGGCCCCACATGCCAGGCCCCACATGCCAGGCCCACGCAGACCTCAGGACCTTTGCTTTGGCTCCTCCCCAGGTACCAGCGTGACGAACTCCCTGCTCCAGTCTCTTCTTAAATGTCACTCTTTGAGACTGACCCTGGCACCCAACTTGACTTTGCCCTCACCCTGCACCCCACCCTCAGCCCTACCAGCTGCTCTGTTTGCAGGTAAAAAAAAAAAAAAAGATGTAGCTGGGTCCATGAGGAAATGACCTACCTGTTCCCCTGCCTCTCCCTTAAGAGGCAGGAGACAATTCCAGAGGCCCCCAACAGCCCTGTCCTGTCATGTCCCCGGCCAGAACTGTATGACGTGCCCACCTCTGGATGAATGAGGGACATAGGCCTGAAGCCACCAGTCCTGGCTGAAAACCCACCTGGGCTGGCTCCATCCCCCCAAAGCTGGGGGGGGCCTGGGGGACGCAGGAGGAGACCACAGTCCTCCTTGGGAGAAGGGCAGGGTGGACCCGCCGTGAGCCCTGAGTGTCTAGTCATATCTTCATCCTTGGAAGAGTTTCTGTTGCTGTGCCCCAGCTAAGATGGGAAAACTCAGTTTGAAACAGAAAGACCAAATGATCTTTCCCAGGGACAGAATCTGGAATTAAACTCCAGGGCTTCTGACTCAAAGTCGGTGTGGATAATGTTCCTGATGAGCTGGGGGGTGGGAGGTCCCGGGAGGTGGAGCCGGGCACAGAGAACCAGGCAAGCGCCAGCGGGCCTGGAGTCGTGGAGAGGCCACGGGGAGCGGCGGGCAGACGTGGGGTGCGAGGGCCCAGCCGCGGGCTGGGTGGGGCGCCGCAGGCGGGGTCAGGGCAGTGGCTGAGAAGAGGCGGCAGGGACAGAGAGGATGCTGGGAGCACTGGGACAGCAGCAGGCAGGACCTCCGAGCAGGAGGCCTCCGTGGTGTCCGGCCCAGTCCGTCCTGGTGGTTTCGGGCCCCGGAGCCCTGGCACAGTCCGGCTGGCACACTGAGCCCTGTCTCCTGGCAAAACGCCCCCCGGAGACTGCCCAGGGCTCTGGGTGGGCTTCCATCCACAGAGGAGGAGAGAACCCGGGCTCAGCCACCCCCGCAACCCGGAGGCTGGAGCCGGAGAGGCTCCTGGCTGGAGAGGCGGTGGGGGATCCAGCAGCACTAGTGGGGTGGTGGCAAGAGACATCGCTCCCAAAGCAGGCCCCTCCCAGCGCTGCCTTCTGGTCCACTGCCCTGCAGCCCGGGCCAGAGGCCAGTGACTCCCACTTAGGCCGCTCTCTCCCTTCACTGTTCAGTGCAGGCTGAGAGTCGCTGGGCACTTGGGGTCTCTGTGCTGCCCCGAAGCCTGAGGCAGACCCGGCATGGGAGGACCACCCAAACTGAGGGAGCCCTTACCACGTGGAGCCACTGCAAAGGAGACCTCTCTAGATCTAGAAACGGGGCTTATTTCAGAGGTTTGCATTAAATGCCAAGGTCTGAGCTTGCGTTTCTGGCTTGAAAGTCCGGCCGCGACTTTCTGGCACCTTCAGGGCAGGACAGGCAGAAACGGCCCCACACCCACACGTGGACGCCCTGGCACGGGCCTCCCGGCAGATGCCCCGTGCCCATGAATGGCTAGCAGTGGCCTGAGTCCGCCCTTGTGTGGGAGACAATGGGCTGTGTGTGGGGGAGGCTCAGCTCTGGCCCCCAGCCCCTCCTCCTCCAGGCTCTGTCAAGCGGCCGAACAGTGAAAGCGAGGGGCAGCCAACCGATGACCGGCCTCCGGGGAGCCCCTTCTGGGGGTCCGCGGGCAGATGATGAAGCTGAGGGAGCTGAGGCCTGGTCAGCTCAGCCTCTGCACTGAGGCGCCTCCAGTCCGAGGGGCACTGAAACTGGGCCCCCGGAGGGCTTCTGAGCCAGATAAAAGCCGGTGACCCCCTTTCTAGGAATCTCTGCTCCCCGACGTCGCTCCCACCTTAAGACCCTGCCTGCCTGTTTTGCCCTCTGACAGCCTGTGATTGGGGCTAGTCCCCGACAGGTGATTTTTTTTTTTTTAAGATTTTCTCTTTACTTATTTATGCATACAAGAAATGGGTGTAGGCAAGAGGTGTGAGAGTGAGAGGATTCACCAGAGAGAGTGGGGAGCAGACAGGAAGCTTAAATGGCCCTGCAGTGGCTGGGAGAGGAGAGGTCTGAGCCATGTGGGTCACCTCCCTGGGGGCCAACTCAGGCCGCAGTGGCTGCCACGGTGCGACTCAGAGGAGCGGGCCAGGAGGCAACACCCCATCAGCTCTGCGTGCCCTGAGTCCTGTTCCCATCCGCACAGGAAGGAAGACGGCTCATGTGGGCAGCAAGGGGGTGCAGCGAGGGCCCGCACTCCCTGAGGGTCACCTGTGCGGGACCTGGTCCCTTGGGGCAGGGCCATGTGACCCCACTGGCCCGTGCTCCCAACGCCAGGCCCAGAGCCGAGATGCCTCATGGCCAGCTCCTGGCCGTGTCCCCCAGGCCCAGCTAGCTTCTGACCTCAGTGTCCCACAGAAGAGGCTGGCTGGGCCCTCCGTGGTGTGGACATTAGCCTGCTGAAGGAGACTGGCCTCTCTTTCGCTCAGGGGCCCTCTACAAGCCTGCACTCTGTGGTGGGGTCTGCCTGAGGCCTGGGGGGCCAGGCTCCCAGGAGCAAGAGCAGAGAGGCCAGCTGCAAGCCGCACCCTCACCTGGCCTGAGTGAGCCCGATAAGTTCACCACCCTTCAGCTTCTGTGTCCAGGCAGGAAGCCACTCAAAGGCTGGTCACGAGTCACCACAGATTTTGCAAGTTAGGAAAACATCTAAGGGTGCCCCCAAAACCCACCACACACCCAGGGGCCTCCGCGTGCCTGGCACTCGGGGTGCACTGGATAAGCAGCGGGAGCAGCGTCTGACCTCTGGAGTGGCCACGCACAGGTCAAGAGGTCAAGCCCTGGATTAATCCTTAGCCACCGCTAAGGACAGGTCACATGCAAACAAGCAACATGCCACCACTCCCTTCTCCTAGGGAAGACAACTTACAGAAACAGGGTGTTTCTGCCCGGCTCGATGGCCCCGGGAAACGTCGGTGCAGGGGCAGCCCTGAAGCCGAGGCGGGGCTGGTTCCCCAGATGCACACAGCGCTGAGTTAGCCATGGACGGGCCACAGGCACACGGGGCTCCAGTCCTGCCTGACCCCTGCTGCGTGGCCTGGGCATCCCACTACAAAGGGGGTGTCCGTGGGCCCCGCCATCGGGCGCCCTTCTGGTACGAGAGAACATTGGCTCATCGGTCGCTCATCACAAGCCCGGAGGAATACAGGGAAGGTGCGTTCTCAGAGGAGAGGACCGCTTTGGCGCAAGCCTCCTGCACCCCTGGGCACCCCACAGCCCCTGGTGGGAGGACTGGGCACCCAAGGGCTCACCGGGCTGAATGCCAGCCCCCCATAACATCCCAAATGGCGGCCGCCCACCCTCAGACCAAGCCCACAGGGAGAGAGCTCGCCTCTGGCAGGACATGAGCGTGAGCGTCTGATGCTGATGGGCTCCCCTTCCTTCCCTGGGAGCCCTGCGCCTCACCCCCCGCCTTCAGAGGAAGCGGATTTAATGCCTCAACTGAGGGAATGAGATGTTCTGTTATTTTTCATGGGAGATTAAACCTGACCCTGCTGTCAGTTAGCTCATGCCAAGGGAGGATGGATGGCCGGGGGCTCGGCTTGACCTCTGCTGGGAGCCCGCTGCCTGGCGGGAAGCCAGCCATGATGTCACCTGCCGCCGGTGGGGGCGGGGCGGGAGGACGGCATTAGAGGCCGGAGCAGCGACCTTTCCCCCACGCCCCGCAGCGAAGGGTGGTGAGGCCACCCTGGTGTCGCCCAGACAGCCCCACTCCCGGCTCTCCCGGGGCTCTCAGGCGGCTCCTGTCTCTTGCAGCTCCCAACTCTACCTCGTGCCCTGCGGAGGAAGCCTGGCGGTCAGGGCTGGTGATCATCGTGGCCGTGTGCTGTGCCTCCCTGGTGTTCCTCACTGTGCTCGTCATCATTTGCTACAAAGCCATAAAAAGGTCAGTGTCCACGGGTGCTCAGCCCTGAGGGCCCCTCCGCCCACCCCATAGCCATAAACACTGTTAAGCGGAGAGAAGCGGAGAGACCACTGTGGCCGGGCGTCTCCCTTCACCCTGATCCAGGTCAACAGGAGTCTGCGAATCATTTGATTCCCTTTTCACGTATCTTTTTCTTTGCTGAAAAAGAGCAAAGACTATTTTAAAGTTGGTCCAGACAGGATGCCCCTGTCATTTTGAGGGAGCTCAGCTCAGCAAGCATTTGTAGAAGCCCAACTGCATGTCAGGCTCAGGGCAGTGACCCCTCCCCAGATCCCGGGGGTGCTCAGTCAAGGCTGAGGACTTGGAAACTCTCCTTGCAGCAGGGGTGAGGGAGCCCCAGAGGGAGACTCAGGGCTGGGTTCCTTTCAAGCTGTGTGATCAGGAGGAAATCGCAGCACCTCTCTGGTCCTGTTTCCCTCACTGTAAAATGGGGAAGGCCAGCAGCCTCGTTTGGTTTTGCAGGCTGGTGAGGTGCCTTGAGTGTATTGCACACCACGTGTATACTCCAAGAGGCTGGCCCAGCGTACGCCCTCCTCAAGCCCCGCTCCAGCTTCCCCTGTTTCAGTAGTCACAGCTGGAGGGAAAAGAACAGCACGGGGAAGGGCAGGTTAAGACACCAGAGGTTCTCAGCCCATGGGACACCTACACTGGGTTTTGAAGGACAAATAGGAGTTTTCCAGTGGGGTCAAGAGCGATCCAAGCTGCAAACTGTCAGCCGCGCTCGCTGTCATTTTGGAACCATCTCCTCACTTTGCCCTTCAAAAAAGCTCACCAGGTGCCAGCCTTCGCAGAGGTGAGGCCTGGGCACAGGTGGGCTGAGGCGGCGCAGACTGCCGCCTGCGTGCTGTCTGTGGGGCAGGCCCTGGTGTGACAGGTGCCTTCTGGAGTGTGCAGCTTGGCAGCTCCGGCCTCCTCCAAAACCCAGCCTCCCTGGCTCCCCTCAGGGGGACCCCAGTGTCAAGACGCAAACAAAAATGTCACCAACAGCCAGATCCTAGGATGGTGGATACATTTCTGAGAAAGCTTTAAAAAAAGTCCCCGAGGCCCAAATTAGGGGATCTGTATTAGCACAACTGTAACTCTTAACATATTTCACTTCACCTTTTAGTCCGTTGTTCTATGTGGTTTTGCTTTAATAATTAATGCGAAAGCAGAAAGAGGAAAGTATCGAATTAAGTCTTAAAGCAAAGCTTGGCCGGACACTCGGGGTGAAGGGCCGTGTCACCAGCAGCTCCGGAGCGTCTGGTGACCTCGGGGAGGGGGGTGGGCCTGAGGCAGCTGCCAGCCCCAACCCCCGGACCTTCAAGCAACCTCTAAAGCAGTGACACAGTAATACGGGGAGCTGGAGTCCTGTGTCCCCACCTGGCCCTGAGACCCCCCCTCGCCATCATTCTCTCAGTCCACCTCCCCCATCGGCCCCATTTTATAGAGGAGGAGGCTCACATAGGTTAAGGGAACAGCCCACGATGGGTCAGAGTTTGAGCCCAAGCCCAGGCCTGACCCCCACTGCCAATCACAGGCCTCGCTGCGCTTGCTTGGGGGTGCCCAGGATAGGGGCCCTGAGAGGCACTGGGGTGTCCCCTGTCCCTCTGAGACCGGAAGGACAGACAGAGAGGCCTCAAGACCCCAGCTGTGCAAGAACTCCCCTGTCCGAGGAGGGAATTGGACTGGCCAATTCCCCAGTAGTTTGGGGGTGCCTCGGGAGTGCCAGGATCTGTGGGTATGGAGACAGGTAGGACCCAAGTTCTGCTTGGCCCCTTGGGAGAGGGAGAAGGAGACAGTAGAAGTTGTCCCTCCCCTCAGTCCGTCCCTGCCCCCACAGACCACTGGGGGCTGCTGGAGCCAGCGTGGTGCCAGCCAACCTCTGCTCTTCTCTCCAGAGTAATGGGGTTTCTTGCTCACGGCCAATTTTTTTTTGGTGAATAATTCATGGAAATACCTTTTCTCTCGTGTAAAAGGGACATTCAGTGATAAACCTGTTTGTTCCTTTTAAACGCTCAGCCTGGGGCTCTAGGAGAGAGTTCCTGCGGGGTCTTGGTGAGTGGCCCCTCCACAGCCTGGAGGGGAGGTCGCAGGGGGGCAGAAAGGGCGACTCTGAGACGCCAGCCCGCACCCCTCACCTCCGCACCCCACTCCGCAGGATGGCCTGAGCCCAGGCGCAAGACCCTGAGTTCCGTCCTAGCCCCAGTTAGCTCAGTGGGTCCCTCTGGGCCTCATTTTCTTGATCTGCAAAACGAGGGTCCTGCAAGCCTCTGACCAGCCCCCGCTCTCCGTCCTGAGCCTCAGGAGGGCCGTGCGTCAGGGTGGACGTGTGATGCTGACCGAGATGCCTGCTGAGGGCCGGTGCCGGCTGGGTCAAAGAGCCCAGTGGTGGGGGCTCCACCCCAGGTCCTGGTGCACCCAGGTGTGCTTTGGAGGAGAGGTGGGTGTTCTTCAGACACCCCAGAAGGACCTCAGCCACCGCGAAGTGGAGTGTGTGAAGGGAGGCCCAGGCTCTGGCTGCACACAGAGGAACATGGGTGCAGGGCCAGAGAGCCCCAGCAACCCCCAGCAAGAGGCCTGGGCACCAGGCCCTGGTGCCCAGGTTGGGGGTGGGCTTTGACCCTGGAGAGAGAGCCTCAGAGATCTGCCGACCCCCAGGGTGAGACGCCCCCCCCCCCGGGGGGCCTTTGCAGCCTCTCCCACAGCTGCGCTCTCGGGGCTCAGAGGAGCCCTTGGAGATCAGGGCGCCTGCCCTCAAGCCCCCTCCAAGCCCCCCACAACCCCGGCTCAGCAGTGACTTGCTCCTTAGTGCCACTGATCTGCTGTGAAGCCACTTGACTGCGTCTCCCTGTGATTTCCTGGGCATTGACCGAAAGACCAACAGGAGACTCCAGAGCAGCGTGGCTGATCCTGGACCCGCCTCCAGGCTAATCGCAGGCACAGTCAGCCACCAGCCCCGGGACCATGTGTCCCCCCGACCCCAGACACACGCCCCACCCCTCCGCACCCCCTCCCCACTGCCACTCACTGAGACCCAGGTGCCTCAGCCGCCGGCCAGCAGGCCAGCCTGGACTCTGCAAGGACCCTTGCCCCAGTCTGCTCCAGCCCTGAGCCCCCACCTGGCCTCAGTGGTTCCTGCAGAGGGGCCCACCCCCTCCCCTGGCTAGGCCCCGCCAGCACGGCCCTGCCCTTCCCGCCCTTCGCCCTGATTGTCCTTCTTGCAGGCTGTGGCTCTCTGTCTGTGCGTTTGCCATGGTCCGGTGGCCGCCCCACGGTTCCGGGGGATCCAGTGTCCTTGGGCCATCCAGGCCCCACAACTTTAGGCACTGCAGTGAAGTGAGCCCACTGCACTGGGGAGGTGGCGGCCTGGAGAGAGCATGGCCTCGGCCTGAGGCTGCCCCCGTAGACCCAGGCCAGGTGGGCCAGGGCTGTGGCTGATGTGCAGCGCCCCTCCCCCCAATCCAGCCAATCACCTGTTTGGACTGACCCCCGGGGCAAGGCCCAGACTGGCCCCCGCAGGTGGGATGGTGCGGAGGGGAGTCTCTGAGGGCCGGACTGTGAATCCGCTCCCCTGCCCAGACCCACATCCTGCCCCCCAGGCCCATTTCACCCAGCCCTGGGGTACCTGGCTCAGAGGAGCCTAGGCCAGCCGTGGTCTTCCTGGACCTCTTGTTGCCAAGAAAGCCTTTTGTGACGGGGGTTGATGAACAGGGTGGTGTGACTGTCCCTCCCTCCTCTGGGATCTGGGACTCAGCTCACTGTCACCGCCCAGAGCTGTTCCCTGACCCTCTGGCTGGGAAAGTCCAGAGAAGGAGTTGTCCTTGGAGTCTGGGTGTCCCCACCAGCACCTGGGGCATCTTGAAGGACACGAGGGTTGAAGGCCTGGCTAGCTGGAGGCCTCCTGCCTCTGGCTCTCAGCCCTGCCTTTGCACCCAGAGAATAAGTGCCAGGCGGGAGCTGTGCCGGGCAGGATGAGTGGGCCGGTGGGGGCAGCTGTTTCACAGTCCGGCCCGCACCATCCCACCTGTGGGGCCAGTCTGGGCCTTGCCCCGGGGGTCAGTCGAAACAGGTGATTGGCTGGACTGGGGGAGGAGGGGCGCTGCACATCAGCCACAGCCCTGGCCCACCTGAGACCCAGCTACTGCCCTGCACCCTCAGTGCCGGCCTCAGTAGCTCACAAAAGCATTTTCTGACTTCTTGACCCAGGCTTGGAGGAGTCTGCCCTCTGCCGGCCTCTCGTCATGGGCTCTGGGGTGTGTGTGTGTGTGTGTGTGTGTGCGCATTGTGGGGTGCTTGCATAGGTGCACGTGTGGGCTTGTGTTTATGCATGTGAACGTGTGTGCGCATGCTTATACAGATGCACACGTGTGTCTGTAGCTGTGGGTGTGCCTCTTTATGGATGTGGTGGGGTGTTGGGGTCAGGAGTGGTCCGTGGGGGTGATGAATGCCTTCGGATGAGGGAGTCTGGGACCTCTAACCCTCCCTTCCATGGAGAACCCAAAACAAGAAAGCAGGGCAGTCCTCGCTTCTCTGGCTCCTCAGAGCTGAGGCCTCCAGCCCCCCCGCAGGCCGCACCTCTGGGTGGAAGCTGTCCATGCGGTCAGCAGGGCCCCCGTGGTGCCTGGGTCCCAGGCCTCACTGCCCCGGCCAGGGATGGGGGGAAGGCCGTGTCTGCGGAGCCCGTGACTACCGTGTGTGTGGCCCTGAGATGAGGACCAGGAGTGGCCCCAGGCCTCAGGCCAGCGCTGGGGGGCAGGTGGCAAGGTAGGAAAACCACCCTCCTCCGCCCACAGCAGGAACCCCGGGCCTGGCCCAGGAGGACCCACTTCCCCTTCTCTTGGTTTTAGGAACCAGGTGGCGTAGGGAGTCTTTGTGGCCATGTCTGGTGGAGAGGCCTTTCTCTGGTCTACCAGCCCTGGCTGGCTCACACACTTGGCCTGGACTGGGTCGTAGCCCGGCTTTCTAGCAATTCCGGAGTCCCCCGGGGAGTGCATTAGGTAGGAATCTGCGGTACGGAGGCGGCTGTGCCCCACTGACCTCCTGAGAGCTAACACTTTCGGACCCTAACTGTCTGCCAGGTGCTCTTCTCAGTACTTGACACACATTAACATATTTAATCCTCCCAACCAGCCTATGGAATAGGCAGCACTATTGTGCCCATTTTACAGGCCAGGAGACTGAGGCCTAGACGTAGTAAGTGGCTTGCCTGAGCTCACTTAGCTAGAAAGTGGTAAGGCTGGGGAAGCCGGGGGCCTGGCAAGTCACTGGTCTCCCTGTGCCTCAGTTTCCCCATGAAACGAACCCAGGCCTAGCTTCTCCACTGTGAGAGGGTGGGCACATCTGTGACCACAGTGCTTTGCACGGAGTATGATGCCCTGAGGCAGGAAGTTGCGGTTTACAGCTAGCCTTCCTAGAAGACCTCAGCGGCCAGGCCTGCCCTTCCAGAGGGGGGCCTGGGACCTAGCCATGTTTGTGAGTTGTTTCTGCTGCAAGACAAGGGAGAACAGCTAATAGATTTGATCTTGGGGTGCTGGTTCCAGCAGGCCCCACCACACAGGCCCTCCCTCCCCTAAACTAAATCATGTGGAACTTAATCCCGTAAGCATCAGCCCGGTGCCAGGGCTTCTCACACGGGGCATGGGGAAGTTCGGGGGACATCTGAGAAGGCACAGGTAATCGATTTCCAGGCTTTCAATGATGGCCACAAACTTTCAATTAGATGACACAACACACCTAATTGAGGCTCAAGTCCATTGTCACTGGAGACACAAGAGGCGCCTGGGCTGTGACCACTGGACATCAGATCCAAGAAGGGACAGCAGTCATGTGGCATGGGTTTGAGCTACATAAAATGTGCAGCCTGCATTAGGAGGCTGTGGCCACATAGGCCAGAGTCCTCTGGAGCCACCAGAGAGGAGCAGGGATTTGATCCAGGCTGGGAAATAGGAGCGGAATTGAGAACCTCAGCTAGTGAGCAAGAGCCTTCTCAGCATGTCCGGCCCAGCTTTCCCGAGCTCCTGTGTGCGTGGGGATGCAGTGGCCTCTGGGACGAGCTTCCGGTGACTTGACCTGAGTCTGCTAACCACAATGCACTAATTTAGTCTAGGTGTTCACCACCACCACTGTTGTCATCACCACCACCCCTCCCGCCACCACCACCACCATTAGCACCGCCAGCCCAAGTATCACCACCTTCCCATCAACACCACCGTCAACCCACCTTCGCCACCAACACTGTCCTCAGCGTCGCCATCATCACCTCCACAACCAATACCCTTCACCCAACAGTGTCACCACCAGTTACTATGGTGGTGAGTTATCACCAGCAGTTCTATGACCATCACCTGTGACCATTAGTTCCAACCTCAGGTCACTCTCGCCACCCCTAGGATCATTCCCACCACCCCCCACCACCATTTCTATTCCCACCAGTTCAGCTCACCATCACTGCTCCTCCCATTATCACCACCCATGTCACCACTACCTCTACCATCACCACCCGTAATCATCACCACCATCACCACCCATGTCACCACCACCACCAACACCCATGTCAGCATCACCACCCATGTCACCATCACCATCCAAGCCATCATCACCACCATCACCACCCGTGTCACCATCACCACCTATATCACCACCACCACCATCACCACCTGTGTCACCATCACCACCCGTGTCACCATCCATGTCACCATTACCACCCATGTCACCATCACCACCTATATCACCACCACCACCATCACCACCTGTGTCACCATCACCACCCGTGTCACCATCCATGTCACCATTACCACCCATGTCACCATCACCACCTATATCACCACCACCAACCATCCCTACCCATGTCACCATCACCATGTCACCACCATCCCCTTCACCACTCCTCTCTTACCACCTGGACCTCCAAATATTCATCTTCACGTCCATTTGCTCACCACTACAGAGCCCAGTCCACCTGAATTATGCCCTGCTGAGCTGACCACTCATTCCAGTTTGTCCACAAGAGTCTCCATGCATACCTATCACCCCTGCTTAATCCACAGCGCCTCTTCACCGACAGCCTTGGCCTGTTTTGCGCGATTCGGTGGTCACTCTAGCTAACTAAGTCTGCATGTGGCTTCCTTGACTCCACTAAGACCCGCAGCCCGGGGCTGCTGGCTCGGAGCAGCCTGCTGGGCTAGCTGGAAGGGCGTCATCCCCGTCTCCCACCCGCCCTTGACAACTAACGGATGTTTGCCTCGCCCGGCCCTCCCCTCCCAGGAAACCGCTGAGAAAAGAGGAGAACGGCACCGGCGTGGCCGAGTACCCCATGACCTCCCCCCAGGGCAACAAAGGGGTGGACGTGAACAACGCTGTGGTGTGAGTGCACAGGCCCTGGACCCGCCGACCCGAGGGGCACCTTGACGGCACAAGTGGACACGGGAAAGCAGGTGGACACGAGTGGACACCAGGCTTGCCGGGACCTCACTGTCTTGCAGGCCCGGAGCCTCCCAAAGAAGAGACCACACCCCTTCCAGCCTGGCCCCCTCAGCCCACCGCAGAGGCAGCCGCGCGCCCAGCCTTCTGCATCTTCCTCTGGGCTCGTGTCTGGTCTGCTGACTATCTTCCAGCTGCTGCTAAAGCCCGAGCTTAGATGAAGACGGGGCGTCAGTTTGCGGGTGGAACGGCACCCCCCTTGAGCCATAAGAAAAATGACCCAGAGGCCACTGTCCTGGCACAGACCCTCTTGTTCCTGGAAATCTACCACCTGCTTCTCCCGACCATGCTGCTCCTGACAAAAGCCATCAGCCCAGCCATGAGACACCCCCTTTCAAAGGTGCTCCCCACACATCTGTCCATCAGCGGCCTGCGATTGCCTTCAGGCTCCAGGGCCTGCCTTCTCCCTCCAGCCCCCACTGAGCCCCGGCGCCCGGCTTCCGACTGTCCCCCACCAGGGGCCAGAGTGGTCTGCAAGTCCTGGCCTGATCAAGCTGAAAGCGAGCCCCCTTTACGTGGAACAACTCACTCACCCTAGGCCAAGGACCCCAGGGACAGAGGCCACACGCCCCTTCTCAGACTCACCCCTACCCCCGGTCCTCAGAGACACCGCATCTGAGCAAGCCAGGCCCAGCCTGTGTCCAACAGAGGCCACCACTTGTGCCGAGCCCATTGTGGGCACTCCAAGCTGGGCCCCCCAACCTAGCGCTGGGTCCTTCCCACCCTGCTGCTCCTCTGGGGCCCTGACCGGGAACTGGGACCCTCTCCACAGAGCCCCTAAGCCTCCCTGCTTCCAGATAGGCAATGGTGATGCCCCCAGAGGCTCTCTGTAAATGTCTTTCCAAGTCTTTTGTTCCAAAGTGCTGAGGCCTCCAGAGTGGGTGTGGGGTGGGTGGACAGGAGAGGTACCGCTGGGCTGCCTCTTAGCCTGTGACCAGCAGTGGCCCCGGGAAGGCCTATGGTTTCGGGGGCATCTCAGCCCCAGCGCTTGGGCCCATTTCACTGTGGGATCGTCATGGCCCGAGGCGCCCTCTCCTCATCCGCAGAGTTGCTCAGAAGGAAGGGCCACTGCTGGCCCGGCGAGGTGGAGCCCAGGTCCGGAACGCGTGGGGAGAGGCCCACTTCCAGAGACTGATGGCTGGAAGCCCCTCCCCTTTGGGCCGATCCCCAAAGCACTCCTGCCAGGAGGGGACCCCCATGTCCACGTGTCTTTGGAGAGCAGAAGGAGAAGCCAGACCTGCCCCCAGGCCCGGGGGGCTGAGGATATCGGGCACACGCTGTGCAAGGGCCGTTTCTTTCTGTTTCCTCCTGCGTGAGGACTGGGTTTGGGTTTCGATTCGCGTTTTGCTCACCCTGTCCCCTGGGCTGGCACAGTGCCACCAGTGGCCTTCCTTGTGGCCATTTTGCCCTCAGTCAAATGAGCACTTTCAGGTGTTCTGGACCGGGGAACGAACTCCCCAAAGAACAGAGCTGGGCGACAACGGGGAGAGGTGGGTCCTGCCCCCCAGCCTCCTGCAGAGACACGACCTGCACCCCGTGACTCGGGACAGGACCCTGGCCTCTGGCATACGCCACCTTGGGGTCAAAGGCGGGGATCCTGGCTAAATTTAGGGTGTGGGTGCTGAGGCAGCCAACCAGGAGGGAGCTCTCCCAGGGAGGCGGGATGCAGCCCATGTTTGCACAAACCCCCAGCTCGCCATCCCTGACCTTGGCTTAAGCTCGGAGACCTGTGCTCACCATGAGCCTGATCTTCCAGCCCAGGGTGACTCTGTGGTGACAGCCCCCCTCCCCCGCCCTGACTCGGGGTGCCCCTTCCTCTCCCCAGCAGTCCTAACATAGCAGAAAGAGTCTCCCAAAATGGGGTTTGTAATAATCCCTTTTCATTCACTGACAACCAAGGGAAGAAGCCAGTTTGTCAAAAAGAATTCTCGGGGAGACAAAGCCCCTCTCCCCCAACCGAGGGTGGAGGCATGTCTCCGGGGCAGTGAGAGGCCCACCTGGCATTTAGTTTGAGACATGAAGGTCCATAAATACCCCACCCCACCCCAGCCTGGCACTTGAGCTTAGAAGTTTTCTTTAGGGAATGTTCCCTGTGGCCCCTAAACACAGACTGTTCTCAAACCAGCCCGAACTTTGAGGTTGAGAATGAAATTCACATTCCTTGTGTCTTTTCAAATAGGTCTTTCCACTGTCTCCTCGTTGAGCCAACTTAGGGTGGCAGAGATGCGCTCCCCGAGTTTCAGGGGTTCCTAAGAAGCTTCTGAGGCCAGTTTTGGAAGAAAGACTAATAGCTGTAAAATTATAGACATATATATATTTAAAGAGATATCTATCTATCTATATATAGTTACTGTACTCTCTGTGCAAAGACGAGACAGCCCGGGGGCAAGAGGCAGCCAGGGCGTGAATGTAACCCCGAGACCTGCCTCCGCGAGGGCCAGTGTCCTCGGAGGGGGCTCCTGTCCCAGCAGTTCTGACCCAAAGGACAAGTGTGCAGGTCGCTCCGTCCTGTCCACCGAGGAGCCACGGGCGTGGGTTTCGTGCTGAGACTTTGCTCCAGAAGCAGGACCCGCAGCACTGCGTATGACTGTCTGCTACTCACGGGGAAGAAAGCATCACGCCTTTTTTATTTTCAATAAAAATATGCTTATAAAGATGGCTGCCTGTGTCAGGTGTGTGGGGATTGGGCCCCCCGGGGTGGGGGACCCTGAGGGCAGGGCTTGGCGAGGCGCCTGCTTTGTGTATATTGGCACCCCGGGCCAGGGCATGTGGGGACCCCCCCACACCCCTCTCTTCATCCGTGCCCGGGCTGGGAAGAGGGTGGGTGACCAATATCCCCAGCTTGCCTGGGGAGGGAGGTTTTAACAAAATGTGGGCCACGTGGGACCTGGCACCCCAACCTGACAAGTGCCCGTAGAGTCCTGGGGAGCAGGAGTGGCCACGCCCCTTCCCGTGTCCGCCTTGAATCCCGGGGGTTTGGGCCACTGGCCCCATTCCAGCTGCCCATGCAGCCAGCAGCAGAAGACTCCAGCACCAGCTGCCTCCTGCCCCGGCCAGGACAAGGCTGGACACAATGGCCAGCAGGTGCTGCTGGGTGGCTGTGGGGTGGGGTTAGCACCTCGGGGTCACGCCTCTGACCAGGGGCACCTCTCAGTTCCCTCTCCCTCCCCTAAAAGCCGCGGTGCGGCATCCGGGGTGTGGAGAAGGTCCAGGAGGCGGGCCGGCAGCTGCTCTCATTCCGAGTGGTGGCCTCCCCTGGCCCCACCTTTGGGTGCCCACTTCCCCTGCCTCCCTTCATGTCTTCTCCGCCCTCTGCCTAAATCAGCTCTCAGGTCGGGACCCCACCAGGGCGGCCCCTGTGTGACAGCCTGGCCCCTCCGGGCACAGTCAGGGCCGCCCACCTGGGCCCCAGGTGCCCCTGTATCTGCCCTTGGCTGGCAGACCCCACCTCTCCCGCACCTCCTGGGGAAGGACATGCCTCCTGGGGTACTCCCAGAGAGCCTGGCTGCAGTTCTGTCATTGAGCCTTCACCCCCAATCCTTGCAGGGCATCTGCGGGCCTTTGCCCAGAGCCCCGGGTTCAGCCTGCCCGACCCTTAAGGCCCAGCTCCCGGCCCTCCAATCTCTCTCCAATCCAGACCCCAATTGCCTGCTAGGAGCCTCACCCACCTGGGCCTTTTCCCCACCTCCTCCATCACCCACTGTCATTCAGAGCTTCCTAGGGGCCTGGGGCCCACGGTGCACCCAGCCAGGGAAGGGAACAGCCCTCCGCAGCCCCTGGAGGCTGGAACTAGACAAGAGTCAATTCCCTTCCCTCCCCAGAGGCAGCTTTCTCATCTGGGAAGTGGGAGGCACCCCTGGCTCAAGGAACTCTGCCCCAAACACCCACAGGAATGGGGTGCAGCCAGGCACCCCCACTTGTCCTCAGGGCGCAGGGCTGCAGTGGAGCGAGGGAAGCCGCCCGCCCAGGCCTGTGTGGGAGCAGCCCACGGCCACCCCGTGTGCGTGGCACAGGGCACACGGACATGGTATCAGAGGGCCGTTCGTGTTCTATGGAAACCGAAGTCGCTACTTCATTTTATGTCAAACTTCAAAAAACAGTTTGGGGCACCTGGTGGTAGGGCTGCACCCCCCAGGTCCGTGCTGTGCTTCCCGCCTGCAGGCCGGGGCCTGTGTATCCAGGGCTGTTGCCCCCCATCATTAGCCTCCAGGGCAGAGGAACAGGTTTCCCTGGGTTTTGGTCTCAGTCAGGGCTGCATCTCCAGCCCCTGCACCTGCCGGCCACCAAAGTATTTGTGGACTTCATTGTTACAAATTAACACCAGACACTCAGCATAAAGAAAGACTGTGACGTTTTATTTCACATAACTGCAGCATCCCCACTTCACAGCGGGGAGCGAAGAGGGGCCCGAGCGGTGGGGACCTTGGTGGGGCCTCTGGGTTGAACCGGCCATCTCTCTGGGTGGCCAGTGTCTCCTGGCACCGTCTTGCTGCAAAGGCAGGAGCTGTGCCTCGGGCCGTGTGGTGCAAGTGGGCCCTGGTGGGGCTGCAGCGGGGTGTGGGTGAAGGGGGGCGCTTCCCAGACAGGGACACCCTCGGAGGGTGACCAGCGGCCCCGGCGGCGCCAGGGGCAGCCGTCTCGCTGCAGCACGTCTGCCCGCGGACCCTGGCCTCGCCCTCCACCCAGTACAGGCCCCAGCTCCTGCCTCACGCGGGTCCTTCCACAGTTGCATCCCGCTGATGCACAGATCTTCCCCTGGCCATCTTCCTGCCTCTATGTTTGGGGCCCTGGTGGTGCATTGCCATCTGGGCACCCTGCCACCAGCTCATCCCACAAGGGAAGGGCTCCCAGCCTGTCCGCTGCACCCTGCATTCGCCACCCTTGGCCCTTGACCCAGAACCCACAGGCCCCGAAGAGCCAGACGCTCTGCACCCTCCTCCCGTCTGCCCACAGCTGCCCACGTCAGGGCTTCCTGCCCCGCGTTGCTCTGAGTAAGACTCGGGGATGAGGTTTACTGGAGAAGAAGACAGAACACGTCCGTTTATTATTGTCTGAATACGACCCCCACTCTGAACGCCTCCAGGAAGCGCACCCCATGTGCAGTCAGGGTGACGACAGACACCCGTGGAGGCGCTTCCCGGGGTTCATTCACACAGAGGAGCGTGTGGGGCCTGGAGTCACCCACGGAGCTGCAGCGTGGGAACACCACACTCAGAGTCCCCCGGCAAGTTCCCGCCGCAAGCTGTGGTCACATTTCAGCAAAACGCCAGCTGTCTCGGCGCTCCGCTGAAGGGTAAATGGCCGTAGGAAGGTCAGGACCCAGCACCCCACGAGGGCGTGCCCGCGAAAGGGTGGGGTGTTCCTGTCTGAGGCCCTCTCTGTGCCTGGACCTGCCAGAATCCTTCCACTGACTCTGCAAAGACACTGGGAGAGCGGAGTGAGCGGAGCGAGCATCTCCTTTCTGCTGTGGGTGAAGCTGAGACTAGGAGAGGAGGCGCCGCCCTGGCAGGCCCAGGTCAGCCCGGCAGTCCCCTGTCCATCTGGGTGTGCTGCGTGGGTCTGGGGTCCCGCTGCCTGCCTCCCCCAGCCCAGCTCATGGATGAAGAAGGCTCTGGTCCCCCGCTGTCTAGAGCGGGCCAGATTCCCTCTGTGGAACACCCCCACGCCCCCACACCCCCAGTGCGCAGCGTGATTGTCCTCACCTGGAGTGCTTTTGTCCTTCATGCTTGATTGCTGGCTGGCTCTTTTCTTCTCCAAGTGGCCACTTGAAGGAGCAGAAATCAGGGCGTCTGCCAGGCAGCCCCAGGAGGCCCCCTTTTCCACCGGCCTGCAGCGGGGGCCTGTCTGGGCTGCATAATTAAAAACCAAGCTCCGTGTTCCACCGAATCCGAGACTCCAGTGTCCCGCGCACTCTGCAGGGGAGCTGGTGCCGGGCTCAGCTGGTTCCACCCCTGACCTCAGCTTTCCTGAACTGGAGGAAACCGGGTGGGCTGGGGAGACCACCCGAGCTGGGGGGGCAGAGGGCCAGGACCTGTGCCAGGCAGGTGGGGCGGAGGGTGGTGGCAGGCAGAGGAGACCCCTGTGGGGCTGAGGGCACGGCCCCAAGTCCTGCTTTGCACGGGCTTGCTGAGCGTCGCTGGGCAAACTCCAGCCCCCTGGGGCCCTAAGGCGGGGCAAACTCACAGGTCGGCGGGTGGGTCAGGTGGCTGAGTGAAGGTTGCCAGGCCTTGTAAACCCACCCAGAGGCCATGGGCCTTCTTCCTGCTGGAGAGCAGAGGTCTGTAGTGAGAAACGCACGAAACCAGCATGGGCTCTGCACCAAATGTGCAAACCAAAATCACAAGTTAAAAGTTGAAGTTCATCAAACAGAATCTGCCGTGAGCCACGTTCGGCCAGAGGGCTGCCAGTGGGCGGCTTCTGGTCGACACATCTCTGGCTTATGCTGCGGGGCAGGTGAGCAGCAAAAGGCATCACCTCGGGCTGAACCTCCAGAGCCTTGTCATGGAAAGAGCCAGGCCTTCGGAGGCAGACATATGAGGACTCAAAATTTGCCCTGTCTTTCAGCGATTCCTGCAAGTAACTCATCTGCCTGTGCCTCTGTGTCCTCGTCTGATACCAGGTGCCAGCCCCACATCGCGCTGTGAGGGTTAAGTGCCCTTACCTGCCGGCCAGGAGCCTCCCCCATGGTCACTAGTTGGGGCTGAAAGACTCGGCCTAGGGCCCCATCTAACAGAGTTCATCATCACAATCTTTAATTCAGAAAATTTTATTCTTCTCCATACAGCTATTATATTAAATAGGAAACTAAATGAAGTTTAACTGGTGAGTTATTTCCCCCTCTCCCCAAATAAATAAATGAATTCCCAAAGCAAAAGGGAAAGCGCCTTTGTCAAAGGCATTGGCACTGTCTGTTCCGGACGACCCCCACTGGTGGCACCAACAGGGCTGTGCTACCTTGATAAAAGCCCTCAGGTTTCTCTATCCCTCTGCTCCTGGCACATGTTAGCCAAAAGCATGCAGAAGAAAAAAAAGAGAGAGAGAGAAAGGGATGAGAAATGAATTTACCAAGTGAAGCTCTGATCTGGAGTCAGATGCCTGTTGGACCTCACACTCTGCTCCGCCCTACTCAGATATGTCACTGGACACCTGGGCCTGTCCCCTCACCGGGGCCTGTCCCCTCACCTGGGCCTGTTCCCTCAGCTGGACCTGTTCCCTCACCTGCATCTGGTAGGAAGGAGAGGGCCCAGAGGGGTGAGGTTAATGCCCGGAGGTGCTCAGGACCTACCAGGCGCTGAGTAAGCAGTGTCTCCTGATTTCTCTGGGTCCTGGTCACGAGAGGCTCCCCGCGCACCATTCCCATCAGCGAAGGGACGGCCCAGGTCCTCCTGCTAACACTTAGCCACCTGCCAAAGTCTCCAGCTTTCATGGAGACAGAGTTTGGTGCTTTTCTACTGAGTTCCAAACCCTCCTTTCGATCTTCTTAAAACGATTAGTGTCAAAACATCCAATCTGCCCAATACACGTATTTACAAATTAATTCTATTAACGAGGTATATGAAGTGATCTGCATTGTCCAGTTAATGCCAGAGGCCTTCCCATCCAGCTCCTGAAAGAGTCTTGGTGGACAACCCGTCTCGATTCCAATCCAACC